CAGTTTTAAAAACTGTCATTGGTGTTATACAGAGTAGCAGTAATAGAGGCATTTTCTTATTGTGGTTTTTCTTAAAGGCATGTGGGCTCTCTGTGTATATCTATATCTGGCCATTCTGTACATTTGTACACTGAAGTTTTTAAGTCATAGAAAGCAGATATTTAATCCAGGATTTATTATGTGCTAACTGTTGCTTATCAGGAACCTTTGCATATGCAGCTCTCTTTCCCCTTCTCATTTCTTCATTACGGGGTGGTGGGGTGAATGGAAGCTGTGCAGAGTTGCAGAGTGCTCTGTATGGGTTATGATTGATAGGCACGTCTTCATCCTTTCCCAGTTCTACACACCATGTTAATCTGGTTTTGTCTCCTCTTGCCACCAAAGCATGGGTTGCTGGAAGAAAACTTAGCACATGCATGTTACTTATTGTTCTGTTAGCAGCGTGTTTCAGGACTTGAAGAAGCTAGGAATGCATAACTGTCAGCAGGTTGTTCTCATGTGTTTGCTGCAGCTACTCGCTCCGACTTTACTAACATAACTAACCCACCTCCATTCTTTGGACTGTGATAACTTTCAGCATGATCAAGTCTCTAAAATAAGCTCAGAAAGAAGTGGAACTCCAAAAAAACGCAAAGCTCCACCACCTCCTATCAGTCCTACCCAGGTAAAAGCAAGAGTGAACGAACCATAAACAGAACCAAAAGCCATCATTTTGTGTCTAGGTCCAAAGGGATGTTAAAATTCTGACCCCTAAGCTCACATTCTAAATCTTCCTTAGTAGTTGTTCAGCTTCAAACTATCGGCTCAATATGTAGCTCAACGATAGAGTACCTGCCCAGCATGTGTGTGCCCCTTGGTTGGAACTCAAGGAGAACACACGCACACATGTACACACATACACACACTTGCGCACACACAGAGTAAATCGCAGTGGCACTTAGTAAGCTGGGATATTGTGGGTTTCATCTATCTTAAAATTAAAATTTAACAGTATCTTTTTTCTCTAAACTTCAAGGAAATTTCTCAAACTCTTGGGACAGAAGCTTTTCCTCATGATAATTTTGAAGCGTCATTAGCTCCTATTAACCGCTAGCTAGTGAGGGCATAAATGGGAGTCAATTGTAGGTAGTTTTTGCAGATGTTGATATTTGCCTTTTTTACTACATTTATGGGTGGCTAATATTAAAAGTTTTTGTTTTCTGAGTACATTTAGAGGAGCAAGACCAAAAAATATGAAATATCAGACAAAAACAGGGTAAGTTTTATTGCTAAGATAAGCATAAGATATAAAAAATATGAAATAGCTGGGTGTTGGTGGCTCACACCTTTAATCCCAGCACTCAGGAGGCAGAGGCAAGCAGATCTCTGTGAGTTTGAGGCCAGCCGGGTCTATAGAGTGAGTTCCAAAGCAATACAGAGAAACCCTGTCTCAAAAAACAAAACAAAAAAAAAGATAGTGGAGAGGACTATCAAATTGGGTAAGCACTTGTAAATATGTTAGCATATTCATTAATATCGTTCTCAACCCACAGTAGAATTTTATCTATTTTCCAAGTTGATATCGTTAATATATAGCATTATGTAGTTATACTCTGATAGCTTTCAGAAATACTTGAAGCAACTGGAATGCCTTGAGGATTTTACTCCTGAATTAGGTGAAATTCTGCATACCTACTGTTAGAGTCAACCCTAGGGAATAAACCATGGCTTGTTGAGCACCACGGGAGACAGGGCTTTGAAGATCCATCCTTTATCGGTGGTTTTCTTTTTCCTTTTTTTTTAGTTGAGTGATGTGTCTTCCCCAAGATCAATAACTTCTACACCACTCTCGGGAAAGGAATCAGTATTTTTTGCTGAAGCGCCCTTCAAGGTATTCCCTTTCTGTGTTCAATTTTCTTAACATAGTTAATGATACCTGCTCACCTTGCTTTAATTTATGCAATACTAGTAAGGCAAAACAGATTACACTTTTGAATCACTATTTTAGGACATTTCACCATGAAGAGCCCCTTGATGATTTTTTTCTGGCATGGATAACATAAAAGACTAGAAAAAAATAAATCACATTTACTGATAATTTTCAAATAAGAGATAGATGACGTTTATGTAAAATCGTTAGCTCTTAGAAGCAGAAAGTAGAATGGTGGTTCCTAGGGTTGAAAAGATTGAGGAATTTGGGGAGATGTTGAAGGGAGAAATTTAAGAGCTCTATTAGATAATGTAGTGACTAGAGTTCACCATGTGTTTTACTCTTTAAAATTGCTGAGGGCTAAGGAGATGACTCACCCCGTGGATAAGATACTGACTGAAGGAAGAGCTGAGGTCATGTCTCTAGAATACACATGAAGCTGAGTGCAGTAGCATAGGTCGGTAATCCTAGCTTTCTCAGGATGAGATGGGAGATGGAGACAGGAGAATCCTACTGAAGCAGAGGCAAAATAACAAGAGACCCTGTTGCAAACAAAGAGGAAGGCAAGATAAACACTCAGGGTTGTTCTTTGACTTCCATACCAATCCTGTACTCATCCCATGGTACACTCGCATCCACATTGTCTCTCTCTCTCTCTCTCTCTCTCTCTCTCTCTCTCTCTCTCTCTCTCTCTCTCTCTCTCTCTCTCTCTCTCTCTCTCTCTCTCTCTCTCTCTCTCTCACACACACACACACACACACTGTATTAACACATGTATGTAGACACAAAAATAATAGTTATTGAGAGGCAGTTTTTGGTATTTTTACCACAAAAAAAATACATGAGGCAATGTTAACTGGTACAGTTTAGCCATTCTTCATCATATAAATCGAGGTATTACTGTGTAGCTAATAAATAAATGCAATGCTTAATTTAAAAGTATTCTTAAATTTTAAAAAAATTTAATTTATTATTTGCACCATGGTCATGCAGTGCCCTCGGAGGCCGGAAGAGGGCATTGGATCCCCTGGAACTGGAGTTATAGAAAGTTGTAATACAACATGTGGGTGCTGGGAATTTAACCCAATTCCTCCGGTAGATCAGTGGCTGCCATTAACCACTTAGCTATCACTCCAGCCAAAAGTAAAATTCTTGAAAACTGAAGGTTTTACCTACATCTCATTTATTCCTGGGTATTGGGTATTTATAAAATGGCAATATTTTTTTTATATTCTCTACAGGAAATGCAGTGTCCTATATTGGATACTAGGATAGAGAAAATATATTAATAGAGCTAAATGTGATGTTGCAAATACCTCAAGTACCCAACTATAGAGGCAGAGGAACAGAGATCAAAAGTCAATGCCAACCTGCTATGTAGAAAGCTCATGCCTAGCCTGAGCTTTGAAAAGTGAGGCCATGTCTCAAAAAATCAGAACCCAGGGATTTAGCTCAGCGGTAGAGTGTTTGCCTAGTGTGTAGATCCTAGTGTAAATATAATTCCTTCTAGTGTAAATATAATACCAGTGGGAAAAGTGCTGAAGTCTCAATACAGAACAGTTGTGAGTTAGTTAACTAATTTATTATGCTAATATCTCCATTTTGTCAGATGTATTATGAATCTGTTCTCTCTGTCACTTCCTTCACTTTAACAAGGCTGCATTAATAAACTTTTAAGATGAACACTTACATGGGGTAAGACAAGAAAGTCATGGTCCTGTTATTAGTGCCCTCATGTCTTCTAATGTGGTTGTGGCTTAAGAGGAGCAATGCATTCCACCTCGTGACATCATGAATTGTCACTTCAAAGAGTAACAGAATCTAATTCCTAAACAATGCAAGACAAAACAAAATTTTTAAAAAATGACTATTATTTACAATGGCTGAAGTTTAAGAAGACCAGGGGTTGTTGGGCATGTATTACAGTAGAACTAGACCTGTCATTTTCTACAGGTGGGATTGTAAAATGTTGGATAATTTGTATGTTTGACAAATTTGTTACAAGTTAAATGTGTGCCTCCTATATGATCCAGCCCTATGTGTTTACCCAACAAAAGAAAGTATATGTCTATACCACGTCATATACTTAAATGTCACTGGTTCATTCACACTATCCCTATGCTGAAAACATTGTAAATGTCATCAGTAATTGTGTGGATGAAGGTAATGATGGTATGAGAGAACATCACTCGATAAACAGTAGAAGGATTGAGCTGTGTGTCCGGTGAGCAGCGTCGGAAATAGAAAATCATCACAAAGGATAGAACAGGCCAGCCACAAAGATACCCTTCCTGTGTGACATTTGTCATAGCAACTTTAGAATATGCAAACGGGGGAGCCTGGAATGGAGCAGGCTGAGACTGGTTGGGATAGGGAAACATTGGGAATGATTGGCAGGAATTTCTGATTGTCATAGTGCCCCTATCTGTGTACTTGTTACAATCTCATGAAGTTGTCAGCTGTCATTGGAAGCAGTTTACAGTGTGTACCCTGTAAAGCCGAAGAAAGTGCCATAAAGGACAGGACGGCCTATCCTTTAAAGATAAGCATTTGTCAAAAGTAAGCCACTCCACTAACATTGAGCAAAGTCCTTACTTGAAAAGGGCCTCACCCATACATGTCTGTAGCTCATCAGGGTGAAATGCAGTGATTTCTGGCAAAGTTGCTGAAACATTTAAAATGAGAATCTGTTTAAAGCTCCAAGAAGTTTTGTAGTATATTAACAGATTTTTCAGGGACAAACTAATTCCCTAAATCTTAAGGGAATCAACTATCAACCCAAGACCATAAAAATGTTTTAAAGTTACCTATGTTTTCCCTGACTATTAACACATCTTTTTTTAAAAAAAAAAAAGATAATAGCAGGAAATTTAACAAATTGCAAATATAAGAAATTTATTCTATTTAATATACTTCAGTCAGTGTATGACCCAGATAAATACTGCTTCTCTTTAACTTTATTATGAAAGTAAACTTTGTCATCTCAGGTCTTAGGATGTGGTCCAGAAATGGACTGCTACGTAAATTAAAATATAACTAGTTTATGAAAAGTATTCTGCAGTTGCTGATCTTTTCAAAATTATAAGTACTTTTATAAGTACTTGTGTCTTATTTGCATATAAGTCTTTTTCTGTGAGGTTTTCTACCCTTTTGTTAGTAGAACAGTACAAGCTCTTCTCTCAGCATCTCAAGGAGGGACGGTGGTTTGATTATGTGTAATGAGCACATTTGGGGGAATTCTTTAAGCATCATTTTTGTGTTTTGCACACAGGCTGAGATCAGTTCTATACAAGAAAACAAAGACAGACTGAGCAACAGCACAACAGGTAAGGACAGGAAAACTGATTTTCCTTCCTTTGACCACATTGAGTATTTTACCTGTTTCCATAAAGGGAGCAGCAGGCAGTCACACACTCTGTGTAAGGTCGTGAGAACTGGTCCATGCCCAGCACAGGACTTACAGCAATGCATAGGCTATGCTCTCTATACTGCAAGGGACATTAATTTACATGGTAAAGAATTAAGTTTGGATGTAAAAAAATTTTGTCACTATGAATTAGTATTTTCTCCAATTATGAATGCAGGCAGTAAATGACATTAGCAGAGTAGTGAAAAAGCCAAGAGGTCTCACAATTTCCTGTCACCTTACTCTTGTAGACATGTTCAAATACCATTTATAGTACCTCCCATAAAATGTATGGCGGTTATTAGACCTGCTTTTATTCTTAATATTTAATGTGCTATGACTAAGCTTTCAGATTACTATAGTCTGTGGATTTATCTTTTGCTGTTTTGAGATGGAGTCCATAGGTTTTAGGCTTTCAGCTTACAGCACCACACTCTCATTGCAGCCAGGCAGCAAGTTCTATCACCTTCTATCACCAAGACAGAAGGAATCATGCTCCTACCACATGTTACACTACAGGCTCCAAGTATACTCAGACAAAGAGAGTGCCAGTAAATCAAATACAGTTCCCATGACTTCACCAAGACAGGGATCAATCAATTGTGTCTTTTAAAGAAAATCTCTCCTAGGACCACAATTCTGAGGCTACTCTGCTATGTAGTAAGGTCCCTCTCTTAAAAAGGAAAAAGAAAACGAGTTCTTAGGAGAAGCTTGACATGTGTCCTGAAGGACGCATGCATGCATGAACGTTTTTAGATAAACAATGAGAGATTAAATGTGTTGTGGGAAGCTGTCTTTGCAGGATTGTAGTCGGAGCCAGCCCGTTTGTATCTGAGAGGGGATTGAGAAATGGTAGCTAAAGATGTTAAGAGAAAGACAGAGACACGGGATAGAGTCAGGAGGACAAATCCAGTGAATACTGAATGTCCTTAGTTTATTCTTCAACATTCTTAAGTACCCAATCAAAAAATGGAGACAGTAGCAGAAGACTTACTTCCCTTAATCCTCCAGTTATTTGGTAGCCACACCTATTATCCTTCCTTCAGGGTCAAGAGTAAACACACCTGAGCCCAAGTCTGTTGTTATTTAGATAATACATTCCCTACCAAGGCCAAGACATCCTGCCCTAGCCAAATGTTTAGACCTTTAGGTCTTTGGAAATACTAAGGACAGTTTTGAACTCTCTGATCTGGAAGCCAGATGAAGCGGACCCATCTATATGGGCCCCAACAATGTGTGCTGAGAGTATCTACAGAACACAGCAGAAATTGTGAGTTTGAAGAAAAGTGGAAATCTAGGAAAGATTTGTAAGTCATAAACCTGAAAAGGCAGATTTGGGACAGGCAGAGGTTCTGACCCATCTGTAGATAGTTTTTGGAGGGAGAATAATTGAAACACTTAAACCAAAGAAATGACCCAACCTCTGTATGTTCAGAAGGCTGTTCTGATATTCCCAGGCAGGCTCCATTTTACTGGGGGGATGGGGGGGAGGGTGGAGACTTATTGGGGGTCCAAGAAAATGATAAAGCCTGAAGTATTCAGGGTATGAAACAACCCAGATACAGAGAGACCTCTGAAAAGACTCACAGCTGGGACATTGGGGTTACAGAGAGAAGTGAAAACCACTCAAGATGTGGTACTTGAAGTGAATGGCAAGTGTGCAGACTGCCAGCTGTCACAGTTGCTGTACAGCTATGTCCCCATGGCATTTGCCTTGCAATTCCACAGCATGGACTCAATGGTACCTCAGAGCCACCATCCCTTTGTCCTTTCTTTTCTCCCAAGGTGCTGACAGCTTATTGGATATAAGTTCTGAAGCTGACCAACAAGATCTTCTCGTCCTATTGCAAGCAAAAGTCGCTTCCCTTACCTTACACAATAAGGAGTTACAGGATAAATTACAGGTTTGTAAATATATTACTGATTCTGTAAAGTATTGGTGTGTTCAAGAGTAGTCTGGTATATATTGTTTTAAATAGCCACGTAAGTTTCTTCTTTTCCTATATAGTTAGTTTTAAAATTCTTAATGGTTTCAGTGTTCACTAATCTACTTCTGGAAATTGCTAAATTATGTATAAATATATAGTTTAATAAGCATAGTGACATAAAATTTAAATATAGATAAAAATGTGTTTGTATAAATAAAATTAGTGTATATGTGATATGTATACCCATCCTCCTTTCCCCTCCTCGTCCCTATCCTCCTACCCACATCCGTGTTTAGACCTTTTACACATTGAAATTTTATACATAAAATTTTAATGTATATAATAATAGCCATTGTTTAGTAAAAGTGATCTCTAATCATCCCTAGAACCTGATGAAAAGTAACTATGCAGTGCCTTGGGCAGTTGAACCGATATGAGAAACAAAGAAAAATTTGAACTGGAAGTTTTACAGATGAAACAACTAAAACTTTTTAAAATACAGAAATGAGCTATGCTAATAGAACACAGAATAAGCTTACACCGTAAGTCCGGCTCCAGTATGGACTATGTGTTTTCATGATATGGGAGAGCACATGCAAAATGATGACGCAGCTCTTCCATGCCTAAACTTCAGGTTGTCCCTTGCATTCCAGTTGTTTGCACACTTGGCCACTCATGAGTGTTACTTTTCCTTGTTTCTTTTCCAGGCCAAATCGCCCAAGGAGGCTGAAGCAGACCTAAGCTTTGACTCGTTCCATTCCACTCAGACTGACCTGGCGCCCTCCCTGGGCAAATCTAGTGAAGCCCCTTCCTCAGATGCCAAATCATCTCCATCTGTTGAACATCCTGTAGGGAAATCCACTGTTGACAGCGATGTCAGAATCCAGCAGCTACAGGATATTTTGCAAGATTTGCAGAAGAAATTGGAGAGTTCCGAAGCAGAGAAGAAACAGCTACAGGCCGAACTCCAGTCCCAGAGGACAGACCTGAGGTGCCTAAACAGCACAGAGATTTCAGAGAACGGCTCTGACCTCAGTCAGAAACTCAAAGAGACTCAGAGCAAATATGAGGAGGCCATGAAAGAGGTCCTCAGTGCTCAGAAGCAGATGAAATTGGGTCTCCTCTCCCAGGAGAGTGCCGATGGCTATTCGAGTCTCCGGGAGCCGATTGTCATGGATGAGGAAATGAACGTGCTAAAGCAGGACCTGCAGAGTGCATTGGCAGAAAGTGAAAGGAATAAAGAGAGAGTGAGAGAGTTAGAAACAAAGCTGGTAGAGCAGGAGAGGGCTGGGGCCACTAAGCCACCTGCAGAAGAGTGTGAGGAGATGAAAAGCTCATACTGCTCTGTCATTGAGAATATGAATAAGGAGAAGGCATTTTTGTTTGAGAAATACCAGCAGGCCCAAGAAGAAATTATGAAACTAAAAGATACACTCAAAAGTCAGATGCTACAGGAAGCCCCTGATGACGCTGGGGATATGAAAGAGGCCATGAACAGGATGATAGATGAACTCAATAAACAGGTAAGCGAGTTATCACAGCTGTACAAGGAAGCCCAGGCAGAGCTGGAGGATTATAGGAAAAGGAAATCTCTAGAAGATGCAGCTGAGTATATCCACAAAGCAGAACACGAGAGGCTGATGCACGTGACAAACCTGTCCAGGGCAAAAGCGGAAGAAGCGTTGTCCGAAATGAAGTCTCAGTATTCCAAAGTTTTGAACGAGTTGACTCAGCTCAAGCAACTGGTAGACGAACACAAGGAGAACTCTGTGTCCATCACCGAACATCTGCAAGTGATAACCACACTGCGGACAACTGCCAAAGAGATGGAAGAAAAAATCGGCAACCTCAAAGAGCACCTAGCAAGCAAGGAAGCAGAAGTCACGAAGCTGGAGAAGCAACTCCTAGAAGAGAAAGCTGCCATGACCGACGCGATGGTCCCCAAGTCTTCCTATGAAAAGCTCCAGGCATCCTTAGAGAGTGAAGTAAATGCCTTAGCAACCAAGTTAAAGGATTCAGTAAAAGAGAAAGAGAAAGCCCATTCGGAGGTCGCCCAGGTTCGAAGTGAGGTCTCCCAAGTGAAAAGGGAAAAGGAAGACATCCAGATTCTCTTGAAATCCAAAGAGCAGGAAGTAACGGAACTTCTGCAGAAATTCCAGCGCGCTCAGGAAGAACTTGAAGGGATGAGAAGATCCTCCGAGACCTCTTCAAAGCTGGAGGGGGATAAAGATGAAAAGGTCAGTGGATGCTCCTTGCTGTGAGGTTTCTGGCACTAAGTCCCAATAAGGCCCTTCAGATCTTCTTGTACTAAACCTTTACGGAATTTGTTGGTAACAACTTGTGTGAATCCTCAGAGGCTCTGTGCCTGCTGTCGCCATCACCAAAACCACATTCATAGTATGGTGATATACATCTGTAACCCCAGAATTTGCAGGATTGTAAATTGAAGGCTACCCTGGGCTGTATAGTAAGACTCTGTCTTTTAAATAAAAAGTATTTAGGGTATTTTTTAAAAGATAATGTAAAAACCCAACAGTGCATGTTCTCTCTCTCTCCCTCTCTCTCATACACACACATACACACACAAATTAATAGTTTAACACAAGCCTTGCTAGTGTCTTAGGGTTGCTATTGCTGTGATTGTCCTCAAAATGCCCTACAGACCTGCCTGATCTTATGGAGGTGTTTTCTCCACTGAGGCTCCCTCCTCTTCGATGAATCTAGCTTGTGTCAAGTTGACATAGGGCTAGCCAGCCCAGCTAGTATTAGGGATCCAGGACATGTGGCAGGTCTCCTCACCACCAACACTGTTTTCCCTGATCCCCATTTTCAAAGGTATGGGGGGAGCCAGCAATTTAGAGATGATTCTGGGTGTGGTACAAAGCATGAAAGGAAGTGAAAAGAAGTGAGTTCAGGAACATTCTGTACCCGAATTTTCTCTGCATCCCCAATCCCTTATGCTCTGATGGCGTTAGAACCCATATTTGTTTTTTTACCTGGGGACCGGTGGGAAGATGTGAGAGGTTGTTTTCACTTTAAAGCAAGCTGTCTAGAGGCGTTAGGCTCCTTGGACTTACTAACTGTCCATTTCAGTGGAAGATGATGGCCATACTCACAATGTGTGAAGCACACACAGAGCCTTAAGAAACAGCCTAGGAATTAAGCCTCTGAGTATTGATTTGACTTTGTGGATAAAGAATCACTCCTGGATTCATAGAATGAGCTAAAGTTCTTAGCGTCACAAGACAGATGTGACAAATCTAGATTTGATCAAATTATGTATTATATCTTTAGTGCACTCCTTTTAAAGTAAGAGAATTACATTGGCATTGTAGCTTTTCTTAAAAGCTACATGCACTTAAAACACAATAGGCCTTATCTGAATGGTACAGACGCCAAGGTCTTAACTGGTTTGTCTGAATTTGTTATGCTTTGTTTTACGGATTTCCTTTAAGAAATAAATAAAGAAGTCAGACCAGAGATTCAAAGAAATGACTAATGTTAGAGGCCTAGAAATACCCAGAATATTGCTTCTGTAGAGAGATTACTAGCCTATTATTTTAACTTTTCTTTCTCACTAGATAAATGAGATGTCGAAGGAAGTCATGAAGTTGAAGGAGGCCCTCAACAGCCTCTCGCAGCTCTCCTACTCCACAAGTTCATCCAAGAGGCAGGCCCAGCAGCTGGAAGCGCTGCAGCAGCAGGTCAAACAGCTACAGAACCAGCTGTCTGTGAGTGCACTTCTGTCCTCAGCCTTGTGGGGTGGAGGGTGAGCAGATTTCACACCAGTTTAGCTGGCTGTGACAAAAAGATGCTCTGATGAGTAATGGATTCAAGACTTGGTGAGTGCAAATGAGGGAAACACTGGGAGACTTCCTAGGCATCGTTGCAATGAGACAGGGAGATGCATCTGTCACTAGGATGGGAAAATCAGGAGAGCAAGAGGATGCTCATGGTCCCTCATCCACTGCTTTGTTACTCTCCTTTCTGTGGTAACGCATCAGCTCTGGCACTGCTACGGGCATCTTATTGTTAGGGGGTCAGGATCTTAGGTGGTTGTTTATCTACATATTTGAAGTTGCTCTTGGTTTTTCTGCTTATTTTATGACCCAGGAAGGCCCACTCATATTTTTGTTTCCTTTGGCTGTTCCAACAAACTCCAAACTTGTTTTTAGTCAAAATAGTTCTAGAGATCAGAACACTGACAGTCAGTTTCACTGGACGACCGTCAAAGCGTGGCAGGGCTGCTCCTTCATGACTAAGGGAGCATCCATCTCTTTGCCTGCCAGCTACTAGATGCACCCTGCCTTCTAGGGCTCATCATACCTTGCCCACCTTTAGAGTGCATCACCCCACCTTCAGCTTTTATCCTGTTACCTCCTCTTTCCGCCTCTGATGTCCATGCTACTCTCTTTGGAGACATTTGAAGGCTACTCAGATTATCCATAATCCTCATCCCTCTCCTCTGAGTCCTAAATGGCATCTGCAAGGTCCTTTTTGCCACTTAAAGCTGCGTCATGTACATGGTTCGGCCCTTTTAACCTTGGCAACAACTTTACCAAAGGAGTGGTGGGATGGACTCTGGATTGCAGCAGATGGCTAGTGAAGTGAATAAGCACATAGGTGACCCGTAGAGCTGAACTATTACATCAGGAGTCAGGCAGAACATAGGACACATTTGCTAGCTGGAGGAGTGTGGTGAGAGGAGGGTGCTTTCTGCTAAGATTCAAAGGTGGGAATGACAGAGTCAGGACTAGGACCATGAAAGTGGGTAGGCACAATAGGAGGGCAAACTACAAAGCTGATTTAGATTTGAGAGGCTGGAGTGTCAGGTGGATCCTTCACTGGTATTGAAGACAAACAAGTGACGACAGAAGTAGGAATTACATAGCACCAGATGTGTTGGCACACACTTGTAGTGTTAGCACTTAGGAGGCTCAGGCAGGAGAATCACCATGAAGGTGATACGTAGTTGAGTCCCAGGCTAGCCTGAGCTACATGGGAAGACTGTCTCAACCCAGCCTTGTAGCATCAGCATAAAAACTTCAGAGGTGGCAATAGGAAAGCTATCTCAGATTCTAATACTGGTGATGAGGGGAGAAAGAGTATTGATGAACATTTGTGGATTTTTTTAGGTAATCCATATTTTATGGTTTTAATTTTCATAACAAAGACAAAGGACTCCTTCTCTTAGAACAAGGAGAGTTGGGAGGAGGGTGAGGACAATAGGAACAGTCACTGGGGGAAACCGTAGTTCTAACTTAACAAGAGCAATGAATGTACCAGCAGTGGTAGTGAAGAACCCTGAGGCTGAGATCTTCCTTGTTTGTGTCCTTAGTACAGATAACTAAGTAGCTGGACGCCTTGGGGACTACACAGCATTATCTGTATACAGTAACTCCTTTAAAAATAAATAGATTTTATTTTAAATAATGTGATAATAACTGTTCAATGGAATCAGTACAATTTCCACTTAATGAAAACATACCTTCTGAATAAAAAAAATAAAAATAGATTTTATTTTCAACTAAGTGAACAGCTATTTGGTAATTACAAAGTTGCAAATTAAGCAAAAATAAGTAACTTAAATTCTTTTTTAAAAATCTTAAAATGAAGTTTGCCCATTACTCAACAGTTCTGAAATAATTTCATTTCGCCTTTCACCTATTTTCTTACAACATCCACTTACAATGAATCCTCTGTGCACTCCCCACCCCCTGTATGTGTGTGTCTGGTGTTTTAAATTGAGATTGTATTAAGTACTTTGTCCACAACTATTCTTCTAGGGTTGACATACCAAGATGAGATAACTAGAATAGTGATAAGCACTTAAAAACACACAAGCCAGTGAATTTAATGAATCTAGAAGCTTCCTGTGCTAACACACAGAAGCAGATGTGTAGCATCTGAGTGATGGGTTTTCATACTTAATAATGTCAAATTGTCTCTTTCTAGGAATGTAAGAAGCAACACCAGGAGGTCATATCGGTTTATAGAATGCATCTTCTGTATGCCGTTCAGGTATGGTAACACCAGTGACCTCCTAAAGAAATCTGTCAGCCTAGCCAAGCAATATCACATACCTGCCATCCCAGAAATTTAGAGGTAAAGGTAGGAGGACCAGGAATTCAGTGCCATCCTGTGCTAAATAGTGAATTTGAGACCAGCCTGGGCTACACACAACCCTGTCTCAAATAATAATAGCAATAATAAATGGAGCAGCAGATGCTGCCCAGAGTGCCACCACTGGACTAACACGAACTAGAATTAGAGAAGTCTCCTTTCTGAGAAATAGCAAATGCCTTTTGTTTAAGATTTTGTGTTAAGCCTGTGACTTACCTACTGGTGGTAGATTTGTTATTTATTGAGAGGGATTATCACTATGAAAGATGTATCTGTCTTTCCCTGTCAAGAAGACCCCAGCTTTACTTAATAGGGATGCCAATATCTTGAAGCCAGTATCTTCAGATGTCCCTCAGCACTGCCTTGTCCTTGTGCTTGCTACTCGATAGCTGGGCTCACACAACTAAGACCGCAGTCGCCCTTTGCTAAGGATTTTGTTAGACTTAGTCATCCCCCAAAGGAAAATCAGGGAACTCTCTCTGACTCATGATGGAAATGTGAGAATTGACAATACTGGCATTCTGAACGCGGGGGGTGGGGGGCAATAAGCAAAAGGCTGAGCCCCAGCCATCTCGCTCCCCAGGGGAGAAGGTGTCATGATGTAAATGAAGTTCTAATGCATATCTTCTGTGTGAATTTTCTAGGGCCAAATGGATGAAGATGTCCAGAAAGTCCTGAAGCAAATACTTACCATGTGTAAAAACCAGTCCCAGAAGAAGTAAAACTAGGATTCCTTGGCAGGACACTGCCCCTTTGTTGCCTATTTTTGTGTTAGATCTGGAGTTGTCGCCGACCACTACCATTGTTCTTATCCATGGTGTGCACTGTGACCTAGCATAGCTTCTTTTCCAGAGTTTTCTGGGGATGAGTCTCAGGAGATGATGCCCTCCTCAAAACTGCATAGGTACTTCAGACCAGCAGAGGTGAGGGATCCTTGTCATCTCTTTAGAATCTACAGGATCAGCTATGCCCCAAAGCCTAGTCTACCTTCCTTGGTACCTGACCAGCTGAGTGGCTTCCCTGAGTGATCTGCTAAGCCAGTGTGATGATTAGCTCCTGATCTCTGCCTTTGGGCTGTGCCATTCAGCACAGGGGGAGCACTTTGCCCTCCATTCCCCAAACATGCTTTAATTTCTAAGCTAATTAGAATAACATTAGAAGTGAGTGTTTAGCGTCCTTTATCCTGTGGATTGAAAAACACAAATTCCATCTTTTCCCTCCATCTGCCTTATATGTCCTTGCCCTATTTACAGGTCTCACGGTTTGATGAGTACTGTTAACTAAAATACAAAGTTTTAATCCAAGGGTGAACTGTCCTTACAAGTTTTTAGTAAATCAACATATTGCAAATTTTCTATGCAAACTTGCCTCCTGCTGTCATCCACGAAGCTCAGGAAATCCAAATATTTGTATTTCAACAAAGGACAGTAAACTGTGTGTTTACAGCCAAAAGAAATGCCTCATGATTCTTAACCTCAAATTTTTAAGTGTTTTTTTTTCTCTATGATATTTTTATTGGCTTTTAAAGATGTTTTCATAGCTAAACCCCTATGTATGAGATTATATTATATTAACAATATTTTTAGATAACCGTGCTTAAGACTGCTTAAAAAAATCTTTTTCCTCAGAAGTTTCCAGCTATAGCAGAGGGTAGTTATATATTCCAAACTCAACATGAGCTGCCACCAGTACACCTAGAATTTTCTGCAGTCTACTTCTGAATACAGTGAGTCCTTTCTTTGCCAGCTGAGTATCTGTAAACACCCCAAACTCTAGCACCCAAAATTGATTCCTGGAAGAAGTTAGTTCCAACCAGTTTCTCCATGTTGAAAGTTTGTCCAACATGGTAACATGGTGCCTAGCAAAAGTCTTGGGGAGGAAGGGGAATATATGTTGACTTTCAGGTTAAAAAATGTTTAACTTGCTTGCAGCCTCTCTTATGGCCCTGATCATGAGGGAGACAAATGGAATACATCACTAAACCTATGTTACTAAATGTGGAGGCTCACCGGTTCAGTGAACTGCAGGGCTGCCTAGACTCTTAGGGAGCTTGGCTGTACTGCATGTGTATATCTGTATTAGGTAAAGATTAATGCCAGCAAAATAAAAGTGGCTTTACGTGGTGGTGTTCCTTTTCTTAAGTTGTCTAATTACAGTCAAGCGTTTCTCAAAATGCTCCAAAGAAATGTGAAAGATTTTGTCCCAGAATTTAAGAAATTACAAAACCACCTCCTTCGTGCCCCCACGCAGAACTGCTGCAGAATGTAAAACTTGAGACATTTTGTAGGATGCCTGACAAAGTGTAGCCTTTTTCTTGTTTCAGGACACATATTTATTACAAGTATTCTGGTTAAATATTGAAAAGATATATGCTGTAGTTTAGCATTTTTATCTTTGTAATTTACAGAAATTATTGCAGAAAATAAACTTGGTTCATTTTGCATCCCTTTTGTTGAATTGTGGTGTATTTGTGAGCAGATCTGTGGCTTCACTTACTTGGTTTAGCAGCACTTCAGTGTGATGATTTTTACATCCTGTTCCATCCTTGGCCCGTGGGAGCTGTCCCCACCATATCATGTAAGAATACATCATCCTGCCTACAGGCTCTTGGTTTCATCCTGAGCTATGTTTCATTTAGACCACTATGAGGCATTTTGTGTCATATTCCTTTAATTCAAAAGTACATGGTATTTGAACTGTAAGCTTTCTGTTTGGAAACCTATACTGGATTTTTCCCTGCTTCTATCTTCTGTAATTAAATTTTTTTTAAAAAAAGGTAAGTATATCTTCCTATTATATTAATAAGGATAATTAGATCCTGGGGGTGGGAAGACTATTTTGGTGGTCAGGAGGTGGACGAAGGAAGATCGGGAGTTCAAGGAATGCTATCCTGGGTTACATAATGAGAGATTCTGTCTCTAAAGGCAAAAAAAAAAAAACCCAAACAAACAAGAAAACCTTTTGTAGGACCAAATCTTAGTTTAAAATCATAAAATATCCAATTGGAAATAATTGGGTGCATTGCTTAAGTAGTGAAATTATTTGCCATAATATAACACCACCATCTCCCTCCACTCACAGCTGGAATGTTCCAGCTCTACGTCAACTGTTATTGAAACTATTATACATTGAAACTTGATTTTAAGAGAAGCATGTGTCTGATAGATACTCAGTTTACTTACTTGAACCTTAACTGTTCCCCTCCTCCACCCTCCCAAAAGGATAAATAAAATGTAAAGGAAATTGGGATTATTTCTATTTTAAATTATCAAATACATGCTCCCAAGGGAACAATTGACATCATTGGAGCCAATCCACCAACTCAGAGAATGACATCATGGGGGCAGATTACTGGACAGGGGATCTATCCTTCCATGGTTAGGTGTCCGGCTATAACTAGGATGAATTAAGTAAACTAAAAACAGACCTTTCCCTTCTTGCTCCCAGCCCTTAGCTAACCTCTCCAGAAACCACAGCTATTAAATGGGTTAATATTAATATTAATATGGGTTAATGAGACAGTCTTGTGTAGGAAAGCATTTTAATGTGGAGACTCTTTAACTACAGGACAATATTTCATAGTGCTATGATTTAGTTAACTCATTCCTCAATGATGAGTCTTTAATCTGTAAATATTTTGTGGTTATAAAAATGGTGTAACAGCCATGCTATGTATAAATGCATTCATAAGGGAGGACTTTTCAGATAATTTTCAAATTGACCATTTTTTATATGACCCATCATGATTCAGGCAATATGGAAAATAAGCATTGTTGACATCATATTGGTGAGAAAGAATAGTCTTGTCCTTCGTAATGGATGAATCATAGAATATTTGTTCTTATATAAACTGTTAAGACAAGCTCCAGAACCCTCAATAACTAAATCCACTCATCCTAAGATAAACACATGATACATTGTGGGGAGAATGCTCCTAAAACAAGTTGAAGCACAGCTTTTTGCATGGTGACAGCTCTAGGATGTTGGGTGCTGACAGCAGGGGAAACACTGCCCAATGATGATGGAGGTGATAGTTTTTGAGCAAAGTTTAAATGTAGAGACTACAAGACAAAGAGCTGAAAAGGGCAACAGACTGGGGAAGCAGGAGATTTCTGCCCAGAAGCTCAGGGCTGAGAACTGTTGAGCATTATGGGTGACTAGAGAAATAAAGAACAAGATGAATTCTTATGATGGCCGCCATAAATGGCCTTTGAAAACAGCTAAGGAGTATGGGTTCCAGCCTATGGAGAGGCTTCCAGAAGAACTTAGTCCCAAGAGAAGGGAGTGAATAGGAATGAAGAGAGATTCCTTCACTTTTATAAGCCAAGCCCTAAAAGAGGCAGAAAACGCAGAAGAATTTACTGTGTACCAGATTGTAGAGGATATGAGGGGAAGATAAAAGAGCAGGCCACATAGAAATGATTGGTAGTAAGGCTCCCTATGTGTTACCTCTAGACATTTTGGAAGCTGTGCATTTAAGTCAAACACTGGTAGGCAGTTAAGTTTTCTCCTCCCAAGAGGTCTATTTAAACAAACAAACTTTGGAACCTGAGGTGATTTGAAAGAAAATGGCCCCCATGGGGAGTGGCACTATTAGGAGATGTAGTTTGCTAGGTGTGGCCTTGTTGGAGGAAGTTTGTTCTGTTGGGGGTGGGCTTTGAAGACTCCTATGCTCAAGCTACATCCAGTGTGGCACACAGTTTACTTCCTGTTGCCTGCTTCCTTAGAGTAGGTTTGGCCTTTTTGGAGGAAGTGTGCCACTGGGGGGTGAGCTTTGAGGTTTCAAAGGCCCAAGCCAGGTCCAGTGTCTCTTTTCCTGTTGCCGGAGGATCCAGAAGCATGCCGCTATTCTCCCTGTCATGATAACAATGGACTAAACCTCTGAAAGTGTAAGCTAGCCCCAATGAAGTGCTTTCCTTTATAAGAGTTGTGATGGTCATGGTGTCTCTTCACAGCAATAGAGCACTGACTATTACATAAGACATCTGTACTAGTTTGCTTTTTGTTGCTGTAATAAACATCATAACCAAAAGCAACTTGGGGAAGGAAGATAGTACATCACTGGGAAAAGTCATGACAGGAACTCAACAAGGCAGGAAATTGAAGCAGAGACTATGGAGGAATGTTTATTGGCTTCCTCCCAAGCTCATGACCAGCTCCATTTCTTATGTAGTCCAGGCCCATCTGCCCAGGTATGGTACCACCCCTACTCTATTAGGCCCTCCTACATCAATCAATTAGCAATTAAGAAAGTATTCCACAGACATACCCCCACATCCCAGTCTGATGGAAACAGCCTCTAGACTGAAACTCTGACGTAACTGGGCTGTGTCAAGCTGACAGATGAATCTAACTAGGAGAACATCTAATTCTGTCCAGAGAGACCCAAATAATTGTTCCAAAAATATGTATTTGGATTTTCTTGTTCTTATATTTCACAGTTTCTAGGATTGGAGTCTTCTGAAGGCCTCATTAGATTTGGGTCATAAAAGTCTCATAGAGCTCTCTACATATGCTTTCATGTCTCTACAAAGTCTCTACATATGCTTTCTCTCTAGTGTTTTCTTTTTCCTTTATTTTAGACAAGATCTCACAAAGTACCCCTCACTGATGTGGTACTTGCTGTGTAGCCCAAGCTATCCTCAAATTTGCTTCAGTCCTACTCCTAACTCTGAAATTTTGAGATTGTTTGCTTCTCCTTTGGGATTAAGGGAGAGAATGTGAGTAGATACACAAGAACTATGGAGACTAATGACATTCCGTTCCAGAGTTCACAAAGAAACTAATTCATACATAATTACTAAAATTCACATTTGAGGGACAGGTTTAAGATGTCAAGGGAAAAATGAGTAGCAGAGATTTGAAACATTGAGGCTGTAAGAATTGTCTGAGTTTGCTTTATACCTGCAGATGACATTGGCTTGCTTCTTTTCTGTTGGGGGCTAATTAAACGGAGGTAGAATCAGTATCGGCTTTAGGAAGGGGAATTCAGTGTCACTTCTGGTACCACACTAACATGTGGACACCATCAAAGGCTTGGCAACAATTTTTTAGTGTCCTAAAAAGAACACTAAAGAATTTTGATTTGATGGTGCCCAACTTTATTAAGGGAAATAGGTATTAGACAAGACAAAATAGGTTCCTCCTTTTAATCGCTATAAACATCAAATATCAGCCATGGGGTCACAAAAGTCCTCACAGAATCCTAGAACCAGAGAGGCTTTAGAGAAGAATGGGTATATATACACTTAGAGTGTAAACAAGAAAATTGATATCCACAGGGTGACCCACAAAGCAAGCCACAGAGTCCCAACTGCAATGTTGACAACCTTGAAACCAAGTTCATCGCTGACCATTGTTTCGTGAAGGTTTTCTTAGGAATCAGAGAACAGCCATGGTGGGATCTTTCTAGATTTTTGGCTCAGGAGCGTGAGGCTATAGGTTTAAAGTTTGTGTTTACAGACCACCTAGCATTTACTATATATGAAAGAAAACTCGTTTAAATCCCCCAACTTTGAAAGGCTTTCTTGACATTCTAGTGTCAATGATAAATTTCCACCCCAGACTTGTAAAAATGCAGACCATAAAAAAACCTGGTTTTCTTTTTTCTACCTAGCTTTTCTTTTTAAAACAGGGGGAACTTACCTACTTGATTGTCAAGGGTCTAGTGTAGGGTACATTATATCACTTTCAAACGTGTGCCACAACTAGTATGTTCTTCACATTTTTGCATTACTACTGTATGCTTGGGACCTTGTAGGACAAAGCTGCATGATTTAGGGCTGTATGGTGTTTGCTAAATGTGCCTTTCTCCCTGAAATGGTAACCATTTGAAAGCCACTGGCCCATTCCTAAATCTTTACTTCCGGCACAGTTTTCTTCAACAAGCCAGACTCCAACCTTGTCCAGAGAGGCAACATCGGCAATGCAAACACTGCCAGTAACTACAGGAGTCTGTTCTTTGAGGTCTAGAGACGCAGAATGCCAGGAGTGCAAGGTACTTCAGGAAGAGGCTGGACTGCCCAGCCAAGGATCATTGCTGAAAACACCCACAGATGTAGCAGTTTTAAAACTATCAGGCTCCTGAAGTCTGGAGTGCCTTCCTTTCTTCCATAGGATTTATCCTCTCTTCCTGCCCCTGTGAGACAGGCACCAGAAGACGATTCACAGCAGCAAGGCATCACCCCAGAGTGTCCCTTGAGAGCCCACCTTGTGCCCTTAGAGCTGCGGGGCGGAAGTACCCTGCGTTGCCATAGCTCCTGGAGTCATTGCTAAGAAGGCGTCTGTCCCCATGGCAACGCATTGTCTCCAAGTCCAGAAGTCTAGCTTCGTGCTTCAAGACAGGGCCCTGGTTGGGACACTGACCCCAGGCAGCAGAGGTCCTAACTGCCTAGCCGGGTGAGGGAGCCGGGAAGGCGTTTCCGGGTAGGGCTGCTCACCAGCTTCCAGTCGGAGAAGACCGGGTTAAGCTCTTGGGAGGGTCCACGTTTAGGAAGCAACAGTAGAAAAGCCGCGGAGAAAGAGGGAGAGTTTTGTCCTAGAGGGGTGTGTATGTGTGTGTGTGGGTGTGGGGGGTGCCGAGTGCTGTGTCCTAATCCAGGGCCCTGCGTAACTGCATGGGAACTGCACGTAGTTCTTCTACGCATGCCATGTTTGTATAGTTGGGTGTTCTTGAGCTTGGGTCAAGGAAAGCTAAGGCAATATTCTTCAGTGAGCGACTTGGAGAATGAAAATTGTTCAGTGAAGTGTGTGTGTGTGTGTGTACATTTAAGGGTTAGGGATAGCTTTGAGAAATGAATTTTACAAATCATTATCAACCACTCCCTCAATCCTCCCACGAGGTTCACTTTTGTCAACAGTCAACAGCAGCAACCTAAGTAGGCACATGGGTTTTAGCTTCTTAACTAGAACTTTCTATTAAATAGTTCCTGGAAAAGGGAAGCTTAACTACAATACTTCAGGCTATACTGAAAACTGATTACATTTTGGTTCTGCTTTCCCTTAACTCTGCCAAACAGTATTTGAGTTGAATAGGTCACCATAGTTTTGATGACCCAGTAAATGTAAAACATGTGTCCTTTAGGAAATACTTTTAAAAGAACTTTGGAGACATAATATAGAGTAGGAAATAGGAAAAGGAAATATAACTCTGTAATATCTTCAATGTAGTCTTCTTAGGAGTTTCTAAACATGGGTCTTCATGGTCTATTTGTAGACTCATATTTGGTAGTTTTAATTTGAAGTTAGTAGTATCTGGAAGAGGGAAAACAGAACGAACATCTAAGCCCTTTTCTGGAAAGCTGACCTCACTTGTGATTCTTGGTAGGAAAATGAAAGCCAGCCCCATCCGCATTCCAACTGTTAGCAATGACACCGACTGGGACTTCTGCTTCCACCTGTAAGTACTGACAGTACATTGACATGATTCTTACTCACCAGAAAGGGTGGGACTTCCCGTATCAAGGAAAGCCTGGGTGAAAAGCTTTGCTTGCACTTTCCATAGCAGAGAAAGGTCCACAGCTGTGCTGTACATTAACAATATTATGGGGTAACATCCATTTGTGTCTACAATTTCTGAAAGGTGGACCACAGTGTATTTAAGATACCATGTATAATTGCTAAATATTTTATACTATTTTTTCCATAGTGAGTCACCAAGATGTAGCCTGTTTTTTACATTTTTGAGAACATTTTAATTATAACTGGCTATATATCATGCTCATAATAGCCACCTGTGGCCAGTGGTTACCTTATTTAAGATTTATAATATATCATAAAATATCATAAGGTTAGATGTTATAGAGCTATAAAGAAGGACTTTAAAAAGTATAGCATTCTATAGCCGTCTGAGAGAAATGACTTAGCAGTAAGAGCACACTCTGTGCATCCAGAGGCCTGGAGTCCAATTCCTAGCATCCACATGGCAGCTAATAGCTGTCTGTAATTCCAGTTCCAGGGTATCCAAACCCTCTTTTGGCCTCCATAGGCACTACGTGCACAAGGTGCACAGGCAAAATACCCATAAAATAAAAATAAATAAGTCTTTTAAAAATGTGGAGCTCACAATAGAGCATATTGGAAATAATCATTCTTTAAATATGTTACCAATCAGGGTTTATATTTATTATTTCAACAGATGGAATGAGTCACAAGTCTAGGAAGGCTTCACTCAACCTTGCTGATTCCTTTTTTGCTGACTTTCCTGAGATATCTCACTTGTCACGATCATGTCATGTCCTAGTTGCTGTGAGGAGACACCATGACCATGGCAACTCTTAAAAAGGAAAACAATTAATTGGTTCTGGCTTACAGTTCAGGGGTTTAGTCCATTATCATCATGGGAGGAAGCATGGTGGCATGTTGCTAGCTAGACATGGTGCTGGAGGAGTTGAGAGTTCTACATCTTGATCTATAGGTGGGAGAAAGAGACCTGAAAGCCTGCCCTTACAGTGACATTCTTCCTCCAACAAGGCTACACCTACTCCAACAAAGCCACACTTCCTAATAGTGCCTCTCCCTATGGTCCAAGAATTCAAACACAAGAGTCTATAGGGGCTATTCCTATTCAAACTACCACATATAGCCATCTTCCTTACCTCTTTTAGCTGAATGTTAAAAGCTAGCTCAGAGCTTTTATCTCAAATCACCTGGGAAGACCTCAATATTTGTCACTCTTTGTGATTGTTAAAGACTGCTGCCATGGTCTCAACATAATCAATTCAAGGCTTAATTAAAAATATTAGGGCTTATAATTTTAATATCCATAATTATTAATCTCTTTCATGACTTAGTGGATTTAACTTCTGCACCACATCTATGAAATAAGCAGCAGAAGCAAAAATTTCCTTTTGAGTGAAAATGTTCTTTCCATTAGCTTTTCTGAGTTTATACTCTTGTTACAGGTTTCCCCACTCCTTGGTATTTCTAAACATTCTAAAGTCTCGTGTTCCTTTTCATTCCCTTCCTTGTTCACTATGTAACAAATTGTTTGAATTTACTATGAGATGCAGTTATTAGGGTTTGAGAAAAAAAAAGGTGACTCAGACCCTGCCTCAGTGGACTTCTAGAAGGCCAGGAAGAATCTCAGGAGGTTGGGGGAGAAGTAGTGGAGAGAGACAACTGGAGGGGGGGGGATAAATCAGACTATAATGTGAATTGCATTTTAGTAGAATTGGGGGAAAATTTTTGAGCCCCCTTTGGAGTGCATCTTTTTGTTCTTAGGGGATTTCATATAATGTATTTTAATAATATCCAACCCCCTTCCCTACCCACCCAACTTTGTCTTCTATTATCACTATCAAGTCCAGTATGAACCACCTACTCTGGAGTGACATCCTTAAAGACAACTGACACCCTCTCCCAGAAGCCATCAGTTGCCAATAGCAACTCTACTAGGGTTGAGACTTCATGCCCACCTCCTGTATCTATGCTGGGATTCTGTCTGGCTTTCACATGTGCTGGTCTTGTACATGCTATCACAATAGCTGTGAATTTATAAATGTAACTATTCTGTCGTGTCCATAAAACAGTTTCCTTGTAGTCACCCACTACCTTTAGCTCTTAGTTATTTTACTCTCACTTCTGAAATGATCTCCAAGCTTTGGGGAGGACTGTGATATAGATTAGTTACTTTTCTATTGCTGTGATAAGATGCCACGACAAAGTCCATTCAGGAAGAGTTTATTGGGGGCTTATAGTTTCAGATAGTGAGTCCATAGCCCTTATGGCAGGGAGCATGGCTGCAAGCAGGCATGCATGGTGTTGGAGCAGCAACTGTGAGTGTACATCTTGAGACACAACCACAAGGAAGAAAGAGCTAACTGGGAATGACATGGGATTTTGAAACCTCAAAACCTAACCCCAGTGACACAACTTCTCCAACAAGGCTATACTTCCTAATCCTTCCCAAACTGTTCCACTAACTGGTGGCCAACCTTCAAATATATGAGCCTATAGGGGGCCATTCTCAATAGTATATGTTTGGGGGTCTACAGGACTTCTCTGGCTAACAACTCCAAAAGAAGTAGCTCATTCATGACCCTGGACTTTGTTAGCTTACTGTGTCTAGTTAGAGCATTGTCAACCTATTGTGGCGTAACTCCCTTTAAATTCACTTTACTACATAATCTAGCTATACTTTTCTTGGCATATAACTCACAGCAAGGTATATCTTGCATATCATAGTATATCTTACTACAGAGATGCTTACCTGCTCATCCATGTTCATTGCTGCTGTTCACAATAATCAGACAATAGATACAGCTTTGATGTCCACTGGCTAATGGATAATGGCCATTTGTTTAGAAAAGTAAAATTATGTAATTCCCAGGTAAATGGATGGAACCTGAAACAGTCATTCTGAGTCAGGTGACCTAGACCCAGAAAGACAAATGTTGTATGTGTTCTCTCATTTGTGAATGTTAGTTTTGAACCTTCAATTATGTATGTTTCATTTGGAAAACCCAAAGAGGTCAGAAAATCAAGAAGGGGCCATGGGGAGGACTTTTCAAGGAATTAAGAGGAGCAATGTAAGAGGAAGGGTTAAATTGGGGATGAGGAGGGAGATAATAGGGCAAAATAGAGGAGGAAATATGGAGAAGGATAACTAACAAAGAGATTTTGGAAAAAGTCGTAGAGAAGCCTTACACTGTAGAATCATCTTGAAATATATATTATACACATATAAAAAGAGTTGGAGTGTCTTGATCACTTCTTCTGAGGCATTTCCTGGCAGATATCCAGGCTGTGGCTTGAGGGAAAGAATAGCATTTGGCAGATAGATAAGAACACAGTTTATCACTTGCCTTCCAGTCACATCACATCACCAGCGTTTCTCTTAGTTTACTAAAAACATGTTCATCTGTGGGAAGGGAATTCCCCCGTGGCCTGAAGAAATGTTCCTCTACCCACATGACCCATCACGCCTGCTTGTCTCTGGGTATGTTATTTGGAAGACTACTCTGAGTGGGTTTTATGTGATTTCTCAAACTTGGTGTAAAAGATGACACTTGACATTTATTTTCCTGGCATATCTTTCTCTATTTCCCCATTTAAGAGAACAGCAAATATACATTGCCCAAGTAGTCAGTGGGAAAGGATAGTTTTTGTTTGTTTTTTAGGTAAGATTGTTTTACAGCTCATACTGCCCCTTGAACTCATAATTCTTCTGCTTTAGCCTTCTGGCGTTATAGGCATGATCCTCTACAACTGCTTAAGAAAGACAAACTTTATTTTAAAAAGTTTGCATTGGCTGGAATCTTAAAAATCATTGTGAATATGAAGATGATTCCCATAGGAGACATTTCTAATTAATTGTCATTGCTCTTAAGATGTTAGACTTCTGTTTATTCCAGATCATTCTGATTTATTTTTCTGGTGATGGTAGGATATATCTGTCTCTTTTCTCTATGAATACACTTCCAGTTACCTCTTTCACAACTGCTATCAGCCTTGAAGTCAGAGGTTTATCTATATTGTATGTTAATGTGTATATGGTGTGCGGGGAGAATGCTCAACGTGGTTCTTTCTTACTGCATTGGTTTCTAACACAACAGAAGAGGCTCCCCCTTCTTATGCTGCACTTAACCTGGCATGTGCTTCTCTCTTGCCAAAAGAAGTGTTCTCTGTGGTTAATTACAAATTACACATTGAAGTTTTTGAGATTTAGGAAAGAGGATCTGTGAAGTTAGTCTAGCCTCAAAATGTTATTCCTTATCCCCTACTTCATTGTATCCATTCCTTTTCCTGGCTTGAGTCTAACGTTTAGGATCTTCAAGATCTGAATACTCTCATTTTGTAGGAAGAAACCAAGTCAGGGGGCCCATAGCAGTAATAATAGCAAACATTAAGGAAGCACTTGCAAAACACTGCTCAATGTACACGGTGATTTACGAGCATTGCCTCCTTTAGTTCTTCTAATTGCATCAGGCAGGCACTCACATTAACCCACATTTATAGAGAAGTCATTTAATTAACAGCTTATTAGGGTTATGAGCAGAGGAGCAGTGACTCTAATGCAAGGTAACAAGTTAGCCAAATGTTTACTTTGAGTTCCTGCATTGCTGCATAGATGCTAGGTTCTGAGAGTAGTATGAGTTAGTGTATATCTTTATTTCAAAGTGAGGTGGTTTGAATAAGAATGGCCTCCATAGACTCATATGTTTGAATGAATGCTTGGCCCATTGGAAGAGTCACTGTTAGGAGGTTGTGACCTTGATGGAGTGGGTGTGGCCTTGTTGGAGGAAGTGTGTCACTGTGGAGGTGAGCTTTGAGGTCTTATTTAATCAAGCTAGGCCTAGTGTGGGGGTCTATTCTGCTGCCTATGGACCAAGATGTAGAACTCTCAGCTCCTTTCCCAGGACCATATCTGCCTGCACACCACCATGACAATAATAGACTAAACTTCTGAAACTGTAAGCCAACCTCAATTAAACATTTTCCTTTATAAGAATTGCCATGGTTATAATGTCTCTACACAGCAATAGAAACCTTAACTGATACAGAAAGCAAATTCATATCCTTCAACTGGGGATACTTTGACCTTCTGTTTTGTCTTTTGGAGAATCCTGATCCATATTCCTCTTATGTCCACAGGTCACAGCAAACCAGGAACCCAGCACAATATACAGATGATTTGTTTGGTGTTTGTCAATGTAGAGAGACCGATGACGACACTACAGTCCAGAATGACTGTATGTCTTTTCCAAAACAGAAGTTAGCTCAGGCCCAGAAGAAATTTGGCCAGCTCATTGAGGAAAAAATGGTAAAACAAACAAAATATTTACTGGCTTTGTGTTGTCATTTAAAAGTGTGTACATGGTCTGAGATAGCTTGCCTTTACTGCACAATGAAACACGCAAGGAAACTGTTGTGTGCTGTAACTTGAAGAAAATACAGCAGAGCAGAGCCGAGGAGCCAGTCTACCCTCCAGTTCTCTGTCCACTTCCTTGTCTGTTCCTCACAGAGGGCTCATGCTTTCAACCCTTAACCAAGCTTTTAACTAAAAACGTCAGTGTTTGCCATATCCAGTTGCTGTTTGGTTAGCTTTTTTTTTTTTTTTTTTTTTTTTTTTGGTTTTTCGAGACAGGGTTTCTCTGTGTAGCTTTGGAGCCTATCCTGGCACTTGCTCTGGAGACCAGGCTGGCCTCGAACTCACAGAGATTCGCCTGCCTCTGCCTCCCGAGTGCTGGGATTAAAGGCGTGCGCCACCAACGCCCAGCAAGTCTCTTATTTCTTATATCAAGGTTTCTAGATGATTCTTGGGTAAGAAGAGGGTCAGGATGATAAAGCGGGAGGCCGAGAACAGTGGTAGTCAAGCAGACAGTTGATATAGGTAGGATGTCATAGCCACAGTCGAACCAGTCATAAACCAAAGAATAAGAAACAGAGAGTGGCACATGTGAGCATCCTGATGAAGGTACACGCATTTCTAAGGCCGAGACAAGGACTTGGGATTCTGATCTCTGAATAGGTATATAAACCAAAGAGTTCAAAATGTAGTATCTTGAGATAGCAACACATTGACTTTCCTTATTAGGACACATCCACCGGCCTGCTCCCTGATTGTGACTTATCTACAGAAAGCTTCATACACTGACTTCTGGCCGTTCATGGTCAGGAGAAAATGATTCTAAAGTACTTATGAGGAAAGCAGGGAGAGGGCTTGGGGAAGGCTGAGAAGTGCCTAAGAGGCAACCGATGTTGATACCTCTCTAATGGGTATCTGTAAATCTACCTCTGCAAACTGTTCTGAGAACATCGGTGGACAGCAATCACAAGTTGGATCTCCGGCAGTTCACACATGCATTCTGGAAATATCGGTTCTATAAGCAAAGAAGTTCCATCTTCCACACAGTGCAAGTGTACTTCACTGCTTTCCATTGCTGTGACGAACACCATGACCAAAAGCAACTTGGAGAGGAAAGGGTTTATTTGGCTTAAGCTTGCAAGTAACAGTCCATCACTGGGGAAAGTTGAGGCAGGAACTCATGGGGGTGGAGAGGGGGCACAGGCAAGCACCATGGAGAAAAGATGCTTCTTGCTTGTTCCTTCGGGCTCATGCTCAGCTAGCTAACTTTCTTTTTTTTTTTATTTAATTTTTGTTTCAGCTAGCTTTCTTACATAGTCCAGACCTACCTGCTAGGGCTTTTCTGCCCTCAGAACAGAGTCGGGGCCCTCCTATACCAATTATTAATCAAGAAAATGCTCCAGACATGTACAACAGTCCAATCTGATCTGGCCAGTTCCTCACTTGAGAGTCACTCTTCTTGGGTGACTCTAGGCTGGCATCAAGTTGACAATAGACTAACCAGCAGAGCAAGTAGAGGTTTTGAAGTTTGAAACACTTTGTCCAGTTTAGATAATGGATATTTATATGTTAGAAGTTAAATGTCATTCAGACCAATAATTACAGCCCTGACGGACAGGATGTCATTGTAAGCAACTGTGGTAGGGTGGCCTCTAAAGCCCACACTGCTTGTGGACCTATATGAAGTGTTACTGTATTTTAAGTGGGATATGATTAGATGATTCTTGGCAAGTTTGGATCATGTGAACATGTCCTAATTATCTTCTTGCAATAGCTCTTTAAGGTAGGGAGATACAGGCTTTTAAGTTTCAAGACAGGAAGCTGGGATTTGGGTGACTCCCCAAAGCAACATAGCCAGCAAACATCACAGTAGGACTAGAACTTCGGCTTTTGATTCCTTAAAGTGCTATTTTCACTTCACCTGAAAACTGATGTTCAGAATTGATCACCATGGTAGCCACTGGATGACTATGTAAAGTCACTGAAATGCACGTCACACAAACGCTCTCTGCCAAACTCTGTCCCTTACTCTATCTTTATCCTTGTTACAAGAGACAATCTATTCATTGGATGCTGCAAATATATCTCTTCTGTGCACAGTCCTGTAATAGTGAATGAGAGGGATAACACCCCCTTCTGTTTTTTTTTTTTTTTTTTTTTGAGATAGGATTTCTCTGTGGCTTTGGAGCCTATCCTGGCACTCACTCTGTAGACCAGGCTGGTCTCGAACTCACAGAGATCCGCCTGCCTATGCCTCCCGAGTGCTGCGATTAAAGGTGTGAGCCACCAATCCCCGTTGTTTTGGGTTTTGTTTTGTTTTGTTTTTTTGTTTTGTTTTGTTTTGTTTTGTTTTGAGACAGGGTTTCACTGTATAGCACTGGCTGTCCTGGAACTCACTATGTAGACTAGGCTAGCCCTAACTCACAGATATCTACACACCTCTGTCTCCTGAGTTCTGGGATTAAAGGCGTGAGCCGTCACACCTGGCAGGTATCAACTTCTTAAGGAGGTTATAGTCTATTTGGGAAGGCAGATAGTAAAGAAACCAACAGCAATGTCAGATGAGAATACCATGAATTAAAAATAAAACAGGTAAGGAATGGTGATTGGCTATTTTAGAAAGGTAGCCAAGAACAACCTCTGAGGTGAATAAAATGAAAGTGAAGTGAGAGACTGAGCTCTCAAAAGAGCATTTCAGGCAAGGGAGCCCACAGTGGAAGCTCAGGGTCCTATTCAGGGTCAGCTGGGCAGTATGCTTGTAGCAGTGAGAAAAAGATGAGAACAGAGAGGGGTAGAAAACAAAGGAAGTGATCAGTGTAGGGTCATATGAACAGAACTGTGAGGCTATGGTAAAGACTTTGGATTTCATTCAATAAAAAGGATGATATATAGATACAGGACAATAACATAAGCTAATTATACTTTTAAAAGATTATGTTGCCACATAAAATGTTTAAAAGCATTTAAGCTTATAATAATTATAATAATGTACTCGCCATTGGAGGATGCTCATGAATGAATTTGTTATTCTGAAAGTTGGTTGGCAAAGAGAAAGAATGAGCATGTATCCTGCCTTTTCTTGGCAAACTGTACCATTGGGTAACCAAAAAAGAAAATGGGGGAAAATTCTGTTTTTGCTTTATTATTCTTGATGATTGTGTGTATCTGCACGCGTGCCTTCATCACAGTGCACATAGAAATGAAAGGACAACTTTGTACAGTCAGTTTTCTCTTTCCACCTTTACGTGGGGTCCAGGGATCTAACCTTAGACTATCAGGCTTGCATTTTTAGGCAGTGAGTGCTTTAATCTACTCAGCCATCTCACCAACCCTGAGGAATTTCATTTCAGAGAAGTATTCCAGCTAACACGGGGTGGGAGCAATGATGGAGAATGTGTGCTAGTGTCGGGAAACAAGACAAGCAAATACTAACTTCTGATAGAAGAGCATATGATTCTTGGAAAGTAGTTGTGCTTAAAGTTTGGTTGTTTTGTTTTAAAGATAACCTGGGCACACAATACTCAACGCTCACAAGGCAGAGGCAGGAGGATCATAATTTAAAACCAGCATGAGCTACACAGTAAGACTCTGTCTCAAAACACAAAACAATAATAAAATTCTTCAAAAATTTCAAAATATTAGGCTTAATAATACTATTTGATACTAGTAGATCACTGCTAATGTTTTGGTGATAATGATTTTGTGATTGTTTCTAATTTCATATCTTTTAGAGCTTCCCATGAGATATTAATAGATGAAATAATAAAGATTTTCTTCAATGTTTTGAAAGGTGAGGTATGGAGGAGTATAGGCTTGAGTAGTAGAGGCAATGACAATAAACAGGACACTAATAAAGCCATGTGGTGGTGCACACCTTTAATCACTCTCTTTGTAATGAAAGTTTTCCATGACACAGTGCTAAAGGAATCTCTCTGGCTATTAGACAGAAGACAGAATGTGGAGGACAAGAGTTGGAGCAATTTGGAGGGTGCACTGCCCAGCCACATAAAGATGGGGGTGGCTGAGAGACAAGGAACTCAGTGAAAATGAGAACTTGGTTTTAGGATATATGTATAAGGCAGAGCCAACCAGACTCAGTGTGATGAGAAGGAATGCCCAAAATAGATAGATAGATAGATAGATAGATAGATAGATAGATAGATAGCAGGACTTTCTTTCTTCCTTTCCTAAAATGACTTCTTTGCTCTCTGCAGAATACCAAAGCAAACAAGGAGCTGATTCGGTGTTTCATCTTTTCTCGGATTATTTTTGGGAAAGAACACTGGAGATGTGCACAGGCTTTAGCCAACCTGGCTTATGGTTACCTGACACTAAGAGGTACTTGGTTTCCCCAGCCAGGTCTTCGTGGGACAGCCTGTGAGGCCAAACTGAGCCATCCCTTGCAGGCTGGGATGACTGGGAGGGCCCCTACTTAGTTAGCTCCATGCCACATGTCATGGGGGGGGACTCTGGGCACAGGAGACAGTGTACCTTAGTAATAAAGATGATAATGGTGGTGGTGACAATAGTTATTGAATGTTTACTATGTGCCAAGGTAGTATATTTAGTCCTCCTAAATCCCTCAAAGGGCTACAGGTATTGCCTTGTGGAGAAGACACTGAGGCACAGTGAGAAAGAGCAGGGCAATGGGGAGATAACATCCAGGTGAAAACACTCAGCTCCAGTAGTTTTCTGGTACAGGGATACAAGCTGGAGTCCATTTGTTAAAACTGGAGCCTGAGTGAAAGCTCTGAGTTCAGAACTTTTCAGTAAGGGCTCAATAAATGTTTTCAACAGATTGAGGCATTTCTGGGACAAGGGTGAGTGGGAACTGAGAGGAGGGCATTCTATACAAAACTCCTATTTAGAACATCGTAGGCTCTCTTCAGACCCAAATGGTGAGAGTCCCTAATGAAAGGCAAAACTTTCTTTCCCATGGTGCTTTTGGTCATGATGTTTATCCAGCAACAGGAAGCAAACTAGAATTGTTGGCAACTGAAAAGTAGATCTGCAGCTAGGATAACATGAGTTTGTGGGCTATCAGTACAGAGTGCCAAGTTGAAGCCATAGGATTGGACATTTAATCAGAAAGAGTATGTAAAAAGAGGAGGAAAGAGGGCAGAGGATGTAAGAGCAGAAAGCAGGAATGTTAGGAATGGGCAGCAGGAGAGGGAGCAGAAAAAGCAATGCAAGGGCTGTGTTTATGGAAGTTAAGGGAGGACACAAGTTTCCAGAAGTGTGGTCTGGTCTCAGCAGTGGCAGTTTGTAGTCAGAAGTCAAATAAGGTCAAGACTGGAAACCTGAGGGAGTTGGCAGTTGGGTCCCTGTTATGGACAAGAACTCTGTCTGGACCCTGAGGAAGCCCAGATTCACAGTCACTACCTAAGATACATTGACTGGACTTCAGACTTGAGGAGATGGTCAGTATAACGTGGAAAGGAAGATTTATCTGAACTTAGCATAAAGCCAGAGCCTGTTTCTTATGGTGGACAATAACCATGGCCAGATTATACAAGAAGCTTGTCTCATATCCATTGCACTGTCAGCCATAAACTGACAACCTTTCCAATTCAAATGAAGGCTGAGTCAAAGTAGGTAAGGAGGTAACCTCCCAAAAGATGGCGTCAACAGCCTTTTCTCTGAAATTCAGTTCTCCCCGCTACTTGAGTGGGAAACCACATTTGAGATAAGAGGTTAGAAGAGAAAAATTCTGAGAATGGGGAGTGTTTGTTTGTTTGTTTGTTTGTTTGTTTGTTTCCAGATGGGAGAATTTCCTAGTTAGAAAGAAGTACCTAGACTTGAAACATGAGTCCCTCACACCCAAACTAGGATTTTATGGACTACACTGATTATGACTTTTCTTTGAGGATAGCCCAATGCCTCAAAGTCCCATTATAGTATTCACCCAGTGTCTGCCTTAAGTCTTTTCTAGTGTTTGGTCCATGGACTAGAACAAGTCTTTCAAAGCCATAGACCTTTGAGAGGGAAAAGGACCCTCTGAGTTCTACTTACTTCTGCTGCTATTAATCCTCCTTTAAAAATGGTCATGTGGACAAAATATATCCATGCTGTGGGGAGGGAGGGAAACACCCATGTGTGTGTTCACGCCTGGCTGCACATGTGCATGTATTATAGACATCAGACCTGCTTTCTTCATTTCCCTCTGTGTCCCCTCCTACACTAGAATATGGGCGTTAAGCCCAAGGGCTGATTTTCCTCAACAAACAGTCCTTCTGTAAGTATTTTATGAGAAATTTGTACATGCAAAAGAAATATCAGGAAGAGCATGCTGGGATACCCTCAAAGAACTGAGAACCTCTTGTGCGTGGTGAGCTACCAGGAGACCCGGGAGTGCAGGTGTTTAAGGTCTGAGTTCTGTAATTGATTTAAATAAATGCCCTCAGAAAGGCTGAGTGATGTCATTCCAACTGAGACAGCAAGTGATAGATAGTGTGTATCTGTGTGCATGTGCGCATGTGTTTGTGTGTGTTTGTGCACATTCAAGAAAGGCTAAGAAATGAATAGGATGTGGTTGGGAGAAGAAAACATGGTGTAGGAGGTCAGATTCTAATGATGAAAGACAAGGACAGAGGTGAAGGCTTAAGGAGCAATGTGCAGCATCTGTGCAGACCACGGGGAGATACCCTATCCAGCCATGATTTGGTGTGTGGCATCTGTGTAGACTGCAGCGACATACCCCATCTAGCCATGATTTGGACTAGGAAGATGAACTTGGAAAGCAGGCTGTGTTGGGCAATAATAGCATGGCTTTTAAAGATAGGCCAAGGGCCTCATACTGACACAGTAGGCAAGGAAGGCCACTGGAGATTTTCCAGCAGGCTGCTGTAAAAAATCAAAGTATCCCTTTAGCAAAAACTATTCTCTCAATGATAGTTGAATGGAAGCTACTTGAGTTATCTGGATCGAATACTAAAGCTAAACCTAAATAAATGGATTTTAAAAAGCAAGGATTCAGGGGTTTATGAAGAAAAGACCATTTTAAAACCAAGTCCCATTCCCAGGAATCTTTCCTAAATACTCACTTACATCATATGGATAAAACTATTCTTCGAAGATTGGCTATGGTGCTGAAAGATTAGAAACAACAAAGAATCCATCAATAGAGAAAAACACAAACACACAAAGGGAGAATAAGAGCATGAAGGACCTCTGTGTACTATCAGGGGAATGCCTGAGTGGATCTTTAGGGGAAAGGGAATCACAGTGAAGGGCAGGATTAGAATTTAGTTCTTCCTACATAAATAAGAAGGGAATAGACAAAGAATATACGAGAAAGAAAAGAAAAGAGGATAATAGAGGGTGCTTATAATGACAAACCAGATTAGAAATGAGGCCTCAGTGTGTGCTATTCCATATAACTTTAACTTTTCTTTCTTTTTTATTTTTTCTATTAAGATGTTGTATTATGTAGCCCAGGCTAGCCTCCAACTTACTATGTAGTTGAGGATGGTATTGAATCTCTGATCCTCCTGTCTCCACCTCCCAAGTGCTGGCTTGATTTTAGCTTTTCAATCCTAGAAATAAATATCCTAAAATGATTGTTGCACAGGAGGGCACAGCAACACAGGTGTGTGACCTACAGCAGCCAAGATGCTGGAGCAGCATAGGATCACAAGCTAGGAACCAAACCACAGAGCAAGTTCATGGCCAGCTTGGGCTACATGATACATGTTTTCTCTACTCACCCCAGGAGAGAAGGTGAATTCCCAAAGGTGACTTTGACCCCAAAGATGCCATTTTCATTGAAGAATGGGTCATGAAAGGAGAACTGGAACTATTGTGTGCAAGATTTTTTTTTTTTTTGGTTTTGTTTGTTTTTGAGATAGGGTCTCACTACATTGCCCTGACTCACAGAGATCTGCCTGCCTCTCATTTCTGGGACTGAAGTTGTGCACTGCCAAGTCTGGCTGGGTGCAGGCTTTGATGTCTTGATTTCAAATTGCAATAGAAAAACCTGCTATCTTCTTACTTGGTGTTAGAAACCTAGGAATGAAATATGAGGATCAATAAGGAAAATCATAATCGTGAGGACAATTGGAAACTACAACTTGACAGAAGACATGGATGTTACATGCACTGAAGCTAGGTAGGGTTGCAATTACAGAGACGTTCATAGAATTTCTGAGATGCAAAGAGAATAGGAATATGCAGAAAGACTTGGAAATCAACATGGTGATGAGTGGGAACAAAGGACCTTGGGAAAGGCTTACTTAGTAAAGAATCACTCAGAAAGGATCAAGTACATGATGGTATTTGGTGCTACAACAAGCTGGGAACTAAGAAATTGTGATTTGATGTATTTGTTCGGACTTTGGAAACCTCAGAATAGTTAGTTACTCCACAGTTGTTGCAGCAGAAGACAGTTTCCAGAATTAAGTTCAAGGAACAGGGACCAATGATTACACGGTACATTCTCTTGTTTGGTTTAGTTCAACTGGTTTTGAGACAGTGCTTCATTTTGTAGATCAGGATACTCTCAAACCCACAATCCTTCTGCCAAAGGCTCCTGAGTGCTGAAATTACAGTTGTGTGCCACTGGACTACATGTCCACTATCTGGACTATATGTTGGACATACTAGATATTAAAAGAGGTGAAGGAAGATGGGATGAAACAGCTAAAAATGTCAGAAAAAGACATCTTGTTTTACAGAAGAAAAAGATACAATAACATTTTAGTCAAAGAGGAAGGAGCAAGTTGGAAAAGAGTATTGGAAGTATCTTAGTGTTCTATTGCTATGAAGAGATACCATGACCATGGCAACTCTTATAAAGGAAAGCATTTAATTGGGGCTTGCTTATAGTTCCATTGCTTTAGTATATTGTCATCGTGGCAGCGAGCAAGATGGCATGCAGGAAGGTATGTTGCTGGAGAAGTAGCTAAGAGTCTACACCCGGATCCATAGCAGCAGGAAGAGAGACACTGAGACTGGTCTGAGCATTTGAAAGTCCAAAGCCCAACCCTAGTGACACACTTCCTCCAGCAAGGCCACAGCTACTCCAAAAATGTTATACCTCTTAATCTCTCTCAAGTCCTGCCACTCCTTGATGGCCAAGCATTCAAATATATGAGCCTATGAAGGCCATTCTTCTTCAAATCACCACAGGACTTTTAAAAAATGGGGTAGCTGAGTTTGGTGACATATGCCTGTGATCCAGCATTGTGAAACTAGGGCAAGAGAATCATTAGATCAAAGTCATTCTGAGGTACATAGTGAAACTTTATCCCATCAGTTATTAGACTAATGTGTGGGATTGGGGTCAATGAGAGAACATGAAACCTTTATAGGTCGCTGTTGATTGGTGAGATGAAGCTAGG